CGCGCGCAGCCCCGGCGCTGGCGCAGGCGGCGGCCGCTTTTGGCTGGGCGCTTCGAGGTCCGACGGCCGGCGGCGCTGCACGGCCGGCGTCGCTCGCGCGCGCGCTTCCCTAGGCGGAGCTGCCCCCCGTGCGGGGCAGGCGCAGGTCGCGGAGGCGCCGGAACCCGTCGCGGAGTCCGTCCCGTCCAGTGCGCGAGTCCAGCGTTGACTTGGTCAGCCTTTCCTCTCGGCTGTTTCCGATGCGCTTTTATCTGCGGCCCGCCAACCATCCGAAGTAGGCGCGTCATTTTCCGAAAAGCGAAACAGCGCAACTCTGCTTCGCAAAAAAATGGAAATTTCCAGCCACCTTGGGCCGTTTTCTGTCTCTCAAGCTGCTGCAGACTCAAGAGCCTTTGCGCTGCTTCTGTTGTATTGCGTGTCCTTGTTGAACTTACTCGTAAGTTGCTACGAGCAACGCCTTTCAGGGAAGAAGGAAGGGAATAAACTCTGTAGCTTGAGGGCACCTTTGCGCACTTGGCACCATTACGAAGCAGCTAGAGAACAGAAGGGCAAGGGCAGACTTAATCAACAACCCCTAAATTGCTTTAGCTGGGTTTTCAAACTGGGACTAATTAACATGGCCTCAATCCCTTTTGTAACCTCATTTCCCCCCCCTCCCGCTTCCAGATTAAGAAAATGGGGGCCCTCGGACTCCTAGCAATGGCAGTGCCCGAAAAGTACAAAGGAGCTGGCTTGGATTGCTTGGCCTACACCGTCGCCGTGGAGGAGATCAGCCGCGGCTGCGCTTCCACCGGGGTGGTCATGAGCGTCAACAACGTAGGCGCTGGCATCGTTCCTTTGCCCAGCCTCCCGCCCCGCCCCCTTTGGCCCAGCTCTGCTGGGAGGGGGGTCGCTCCCTGCTCCCCAGAGGTCCAGAAGTGGTGGCTCCCACAGTAGTGACTTACGGGGATCCTTTCTGTTTCTTCAGTCGCTCTATTTAGGACCGATTTTGAAGTTTGGGTCGGAAGAGCAGAAGGAGAAATGGATTGCTCCTTTCACCAGCGGGGATAAAATAGGGTGCTTTGCCCTAAGTGAACCAGGTAATTTGGGTGTCTGAGAGCTGCCCCCAGGCAACCCTTTCCTTTTAGTGTGTGTGTAGGGTGTTACGTGACAAACAGCCATGGGAGGCGGCCTCTCTCTCTCTGTGCAGCTGGGGCAGAGCCACCCCCCCCCCAAATTCTTGCCTGGGTCTTTGCAGTTAGAAACCCCTCAGAAAGGAGAGCGGCACCTTGTCACCTGTGCAACACCTGTGCCCTGACACGCGGCTCTAAACCGCCTGCCTGGCTGTGGTGGATGGCTCTGCTTTGCTCAGCTCTGAGCATAAGCTTTTAGAAAAACCGTAGACTGAACTTAAGAGAACCAGAGCTGCTGTTTGCTGGAAGCTCCCTGCCTTGCGCGACTTCTGTTTTGCATAATTACTTCCCAGGAGTTGTGTGTTTTCTAACATTTAGCCACGTTCTGCCTACCCGCAGTTGCTCGCAAGGCAGTAAGGGGCTCCCGGGGGAGGCTGTGCCCCACAAGCCCCAGGCACAGTTCAGATGCTGCTGAAATACCACCGCCTCCATGTTCACCTGGCAAAGCTACCGGCTGAGCCAGGTGGGAGTTCCACAGAGTGTCATGGCGGGTTCTGCTTTTGCCTGCATCAAAACTGAATGAGTGCCAGGGAGCTGTATGGGGCTGTCCAACTGGTGTAGACCAGGCAGTGCTCGCTGGAGGCAGGGAAGGGGGAAGAGCGAAAGGCAAGCCTTCCCCGTCCACGTGCCCCTGCAGAGTGGCAGAGCTCTTGCCTCCAGATCGTCTTTTTCTTGCCAAGGAAATGGCAGCGACGCTGGAGCTGCATCTACAGTGGCTCAGCTTGTTGGGGACGAGTGGGTGTTGAATGGCACCAAAGCCTGGATCACCAACGCCTGGGACGCTTCTGCCACCGTGGTGTTTGCCACCACAGACAAATCCCTGAAGCACAAGGTAGGCACTGGGCCTCGGCCATGCCGGGCAAGCAGGTGGTCTCTGCATAGTGAGAAAAAGTCCTCTGGAAACGCCTCCAGGAGGATGAGGAGCAGCGGCTGAAAGAGCTGAACCTCGGCAGAGAAGATGAAGGGGAGACCAAAGTGGTCATCAACATCCAAAGGAAGGCATGACCAGAAGAAAGCGGTGGGAATTGAAAGTGGAGGTTCTCCTAAACTTTGGGAGAAACTTCCCAGTGATGATTGCCACTGGACAGAGGACCCGAGGGCCCGTTGGTGTCCCAGTCATGCCCTGAGCTAGAAGTAGAACAGGTGACCTTCCTCAAGTGATGCACCATCTCCTTGGCCTCTTTGTTCCTTCTCTGTTCCCCAAGTCCTGCTGGGCAGCAAAAAGAGATGGTTGTGGCTTTCAGGCTTCTGAGCAGATGCTCGGAAAGGCTGCTGTTTGTTGCAGGGCATCAGCGCCTTCCTTGTTCCCATGCCATCCCCGGGCCTCTCGCTGGGAAAGAAGGAGGACAAGCTGGGGATCAGAGCTTCCTCCACCGCCAACCTCATTTTTGAAGACTGCCGCATTCCCAAGGACAACCTCCTGGGGAAGCAGGGAATGGGCTTCAAGATTGCCATGGTGAGTGCAGGGTGGAGGGGTGACCTACTTGGCCGAGACCGCAGAACGAGGCTCCTCACCCCATTTCCTCCTCCTCTTCTCAGCAAACCTTGGACTCTGGCCGGATTGGAATTGCTTCCCAGGCCTTGGGAATTGCCCAGGCAGCTTTAGATTGTGCCGTGGATTACGCCGAGAAGAGGATGGCTTTTGGGCATCCCATCACCAAGCTGCAGGCCATTCAGGTATGGGGGGAGCAGGAATGGGACCCCCTCCCCCTTCTTGCTGCTGTTGCTCTCCTTCAAGAGGTTCTGTTTCGGAGTCACAGAATATGTGACCTGTGAAGTCCTTCTGGGGCTCAAACTACAAAAGCCAGCCGGCTCCCCCTGCCCAGTTCGGAGCTCCGGCCCATGACCCTCTCGGTGGGACAGAGCAGAAGACACCGTGGCCGCCTCCCCTGCTTCATGGAACATGCCCCTGCTCCACCCCCTTGAAGCAGAAGGACCCCGAAGGACGTGCGCAGGCTGTTTCTGTTGCGCAGGGCTCTGCCTGGGCCTTCCAAGGGCCGCCTGGCTCTCCTTCATGGCATCCAGAATCTCAGGCACTGGAGCAGCCACCTTCCCGTCTGCTAAGTGGGGCCGTCTGCTAGCCAGAAATGATGCAGGATTAGACTCCTGTGGATTAGTAGGCGTGGATGATCTGCAAGAGGCCTTACCCGCTGGGTGTTCTGTGTCTGTAGTTTAAGCTAGCTGATATGGCCGTGGCGCTGGAGGCGGCTCGCCTGCTGACCTGGAGAGCAGCCACGCAGAGTGACAGTGGAGAGCCCTACACAAAGGTAATCTCTATCTTCACTGGCAGTGAACGTCTTCCAAGTAGCCTAGAAAAATACACAGGAGCACTCGCGGTCTTTTGAAAGGTGATTAGCATCTGTAGAGTAGATGTTGGGGCACCTGCAGACCTTCAGAATTAAAGAACATCTTTTAAAAATGGCTGGCATCTCATGAGAATGCCAACATTTTGCAAGCTTACAAAAAGGAATAGGTGGGATCTCAGGGATGGAGTTGTCAGAATTGTAAAAAAATTAAAAATTGGGAGGCGGTACCTGATGCTCCTTGGCGTAAAGGCCGCCTGGTCTCCGCAAGGAAAGCGCTGCTGGGATTAGCAGGCCTTCCATCCTGCGAGGAAAGCCGGCCGGCCAGCTGGCCTGGGGTCTGGCAGCCCCACTAGCAGCAGATGCCCCTAGAGGGGGCCTCCTTGGGAGTGTGGTGCCAGGCAGCTTCTCTGCTCCTTCTCCACAGGAAGCGGCAATGGCCAAGCTGTCGGCATCCGAGGCAGCAACGTTCATCTCCCACCAGGTACGTTTCTCCCAATGGTTCGCGAGGTCTGATTTCTTCAGGAAAGGTGGGACGGCAAAAGGTGAATCGTGTTTCTATCTTAGTAAGGATAGAAGAGCCCTGCAAAGCCTGTTGATTAAATGATGGGCAGACTGACCCAGTTTGTGGAGAGCTGCCTCCGTTTCCGCACGTGCCAGCACCCGTGCTTTTATTTCAGGCTATCCAGATCCTGGGAGGGATGGGCTACGTGACGGAGATGCCAGCCGAGCGCCACTACCGAGATGCTCGCATCACTGAGATCTATGAAGGAACCAGTGAAATCCAGAGGCTGGTGATTGCGGGGCAGCTGCTGAAGGCCTATCGCGGCTGAAGAGGAGGTCTGCTGCAGGGGCCTCAAGGACAGGTCACACCTTAGGTCAGGGGCTGGATTAAACGTGGGGAATCGCCCCCTCTGCTCATCTCACAAAAGGCAAAGGCCTGAGCACCCAACTGCTTTGATCATCAAGTCTCTGGCGGAGGTTGAGCACTTACAAGAGGGTGCCTTGAATAACCAGGGGAGGAATGACCATCAGAAAACAGGGATGTGCGAGAGCCTCGGGTCCCATGATTGTCAAGGTACACTACCAGCCGTTTACTGGTCCTCTAGTCCCTAGGTAAGGTCTACTCTACCATGGACCACATGAATTCCAGCGGAGTGAGATCTGCTCAGGTGAAACTACTCTGTCTTCAGCGGCATCTGCAAGAAAGCAGATTGTTGGGAAACGATCGGGGAGACAAGATGAATAACAGAGTTAAGGGAGGGTCAGGAAGCAACCCTGGATCAGCTACTGAAGTGAATCTTGAAAAGGAGCTGGTGTTAGTGGCAGACGATAAATCGTAGCCTCGAGTCCAAGTGCCTTGTTTGTGCCCCAAAGCCAAGTCCTCCTCCACCCGCAGATGCGGATTCCCAAGAAGACACCTTACGGATAGAGTCAAAATCAGCTATTAAATTTGAGCATCAACAACTTGCTGTATCTTTTGGTTTAATTACAGTCCTTTGTTGAATACACATTCAAAGTGCAGGCCTTCTGCTTGATAGAATGCTAAAGAGGCCTTGGAGCCACCAAGTCCTACCAACTGCTCAGGGCCTACCTGGAGGAACTTCCCAAAGAAATGGCTGTCTAGCTTCTGCTGTGGGAGACCTGATCCTCCTGGGTCTTGGTTCCCCTTTCAAACTGGTGTCCCTGTCAAGCATTTTGTCTGACATTCAACTGGAATCCCTCTGAAATTTAAGTCCATTAATTTGTTACAGAAAACAGCCTGTATTTCCTTTTTGTTCGGGTATCTGAAGAGGAGTGTGACCTCCTAGCCCTTTTGAGGCTGCACCTTCTCTGCAAAAGGGCCACCATGTCCTTGGAAAGAAACAGCCACATGGGGTGGGGAGGGGAGTGAACCTATACAATTTGCTTCCCCACCATGTTCTTTGCTTTGTTCAGGCACACTTGCAAAACCTGGTTGCCCATGACTGCTGTGAGCTGGGTCTTGGCCCTCTTGTTCTCAGTGACACAGAGTCCCCTCCTCCCCCCACTTTCTAAAAAATCACCGTAAGGAAATACTCATGAGCCACCCCAACAGGGTGGGAGGGATGGCACCATAGTCTCCAGACTCCCTTCCGAGATGACAGAAACTTCCTTGCTGGAAATCCAGGACTGCTAGTTGATGTTCACGTGCTCGGCATGAGTTTCTGCCATGGACATAATTACAAGAGGTTTCGTGTATCTAAACAGTCACGTTCATCAATCTGCTGCCTTCCAAATCCATTCCCAGATTCTTCCAGACAAGGTGGGCTGACCTAATGGTTATAACTATGCAGCAGCAACAGCAGCTCAAAGAGGGGCATCAGGTTTCTGGCTGGTTACTGTAGTCCAGCGTTTTTCAAACTTGGCAACTTTTAAGATGTGTGGACTGCGGCTCCCAGAATCCCCCAGCCAGCATGCTCCCAGAATTCTGGGAGCTGAAGTCCAGACACGTTAAAGTTGCCAGGTTTGAAAAACACTGCTGCAGTCCAAAGCAGCATCGTTTAATGAGGGTGCTCTGGCACCACTTCCAGCTTGGCACTAAGAGGTGGTATCAAGGTTACTCTGGTTTGAATAAAGCTATGAGTTCCTCTGTCAGGGAGTCATTTTAACAAATGGTGGTGCTTCACCTTGTCTTAGAAGCTTCCAAAGCTGGTGATCATTAACTGCCTTTGAACCGACTGAGACCCAACTCCGAATGACAACGTATGGCTTCCCGTGAGAAGTTCCCTCTGTTCACCTGCCAATTGTAATGCCAGGCACTCAAACCTCTGGCAACAGCATCCTGAAGAGGAATTAGAGATGGAAACCCTAACCCTTCTTCTGCCTCCTTGCTCCTGGGGCCTCCTCACATAGCAATTTCCACTTTCCAACAAGTTTTCTCTCAGTTATGTCATTTTAGCTGCAAGTAATTCATGTGTGCCTCACCAAACAGGATGGCATTGCTTTAAGGGAGTCAACTGTGAGCTGAGAATCTACAACCTGCAATCAACATTGTTCAGCCTGCCAGACTCACATTTCACTTTTCAATGAGCAAATCATTTCTCAGTAGGGGTGCATTTCCTTGATGCAAACTCAATTCATGGTTAACAGCAGAACAATTTACTATAGCCTTCTGCCAGAATGCTTTTCCAACTTCCTGGGATTCTCTCACCCAAGTTCTAAACTTCTTCAAGATCAGCCATGTTGTTGCAACAAAGGAAGAATTTGGAAGGAGGTGGGGGAGCCTCTCTCAGGAAGAGGGAACAGGCTGATACCTACCTGGAGTCAGGTCACCATATTCCCAGAGCTGAGGGTCCCAGCTGATGCTGAAGGCCCGCCTCACCAGTTACCAGAGTGGTTGAATGGTTAAGGTGTTGAACTGGGAGTGGGGAAACAGGTTCTAATACCCCCTCAGCAACAGAAGCTCCTTAGGGGACTTGGATCACTCCCAACCTATCAGTCCAAAAGAGTGGTATAATGGTGAAGGGGTTGGACTAGGAGCAGGGAGACTCAAGTCTCTGGATGCTTGCTGGAATTTGGAGATGGCCATATCCTTGGATAGGACTGCACTTGAGTGGCCTCTCCTGCCACAGTAATTCAGAGCTGCTCCTTGGTAAACCACCATCTTTGTAAACCACCACTGGGGAATGAGGTGGTAAAGGAGCCACCTAGAAAGATACTGGTAGAAGACAAAAAATAGAATGAATATGACAAAGCATGGGTAAGAGCCCAGATTCAAGTGTACACTGTAGGAGTAACGGTGAAATGTCAGCATCTCTCCTCTTACTGCATCTGAACCAACAGCCCACTTTAAAACGACCCCACCTCTTTGGAGAAGGATGGCCCTGAGGAACATCTGTTGAACCATTATGCATCTGGCATTCAGCAGATGCTAGTTGGGAGTTAGCTGGGACACCAGTTGAGGTGAAGAAGGGCTCATCTTGTGGTTACCTGGGATGAGTTTACATTTGTTAGTCCTGAGGAAGTGGATCTCTATCCCCGGGACATCAACTCCACTTCCTATGGGTTAGATCCCTGCCTTTTCTGATTGGTGGAAGCCTCCAGAGAGGTGATAGAAAGTTGGGTTAGAGCAGTGGAAAATGCATCCTTGAGGGAAGAGGTTGGTGCTGCCAACTTTGAAAGTGGTGGCGCACTCCCTATTCACTTAAACATCAACCTGTTTGATTTGGAGAATTATCGACCAGTCTCTAATGCTCCATTCACAGTGAAAGTTCTTGAGAAGGTTGTGGGTCTGTAACTTGTGGAGGGTCCTGGAGGAAATGGATTTTCAGTCAGTTTTGGGAAATGATAAACTACACTGATCACTCTTTTTGATGACCTGTGTTCTTCCCTGAGCTTTCAGCAGGCTTTGATTCAGTCAGTCACAGCATCATTCTAGGCTGTCTCCTGTGGTTGGGAACGGGTGGCACATTTTTACAGTGCTTCTCCTTCCTCTAGCTGAATCCAGCTAATGGTGGTGGGAGAGGTTGAGTCCCAAGGCCCTCTGTTGTGGGTGGCTGCAGTGCTTGATACCCTGTCTTCTATTATTTAACATCTATATGAAGCCACTGGGGCAGGTCATTTCTTGACACAGGATTAGGTATCATCAGTATTCAGTATATCCTGGCATCAAGCCACAGGGGAGTGACCAGAAGCCAGTAAGATGGAATTGCTTTGGATTCCAAGACCATCTGAATCCGGGGATATTCCATCATTGGTTGTGGAAGGGTTGCACTCCCTCATTTGGAACTGGTTAATAAGAATCTTCTTGGACTCAGGGCTCCTGCTCAAAGTACAGGTGGCAGCTGCAGCCAAGAGGGCTGTTGCACAACTGCATCTTGTATGCGTGTTTCTGGATCAGGCGGCCTTGTGCACTTTCATCATGCCTTGGTTCTCTCTTGGTTGGATTGCTGCAATGCACTCTACATGGGGTTACCCTAGAAGGCCAACCCAGAAGCTAAAGCTGGTTCTGAATGGCTTAAGTAGCTATGGAAGTTCTTTGTTTTACCGAAGTAACACTATTTTGAGAGCTACACTGGTTGCCAGATCTTGATGCAATTCAAGGTGCTAGTTATCACCTTTAAAACCCTATATGGCACCTTCGGACCTGGGTATCCTTGAGACTGCCTGCTCCCTTCCAAATTGGGCAGGAAGAGTTCTCTTAAGACCCCTCCCTTCAGGGGCCTTCTCAGTTGCTGCCCCCAGCCTATGGAAAATAATTCCCCTGAGATTAAAGCAGCTCTGACTGTCCGAGAATTTAGGAAGCTACTAAGACTCGGTTGTTCCAGAAAGCCTTGGGGACTGAAGCGGATATGGCCCCACTTCAGTTTCTGATCATTTATATTGGGAGAGCGTTTCCTCGGTGCAATAAGATTAATGATTGTTAAGTGTTGTTTTAACTCTTGTTACTGATATAGATTATATATCTCTTAGAATCAGTTGCCACTGAAGCAGTAAGCAACTCTAAGTAATACGTAATAATTTTTTAAAAAATCATAATAAAGATATTGCAGGAAAAATTAGTCTTTAAGATAGGAATAAAAAGAAAGTTAAAAAAGGTACCATTCCAGGATTAACAACAAGAGAAGTAGCACAAGCGTGTGATCCTATTTTTGCCCACCGCAAGTTGAAGACATCAGCAGATGGAGAGGCAATCCAACCAAGAGCCCAAGCAGCATTCAGGTCAGGCAGCTGAGGATCACCTCTCCATCTGTCTTAGACTCTCTGTGTCTGCCTCTCACACAAACCGAGGACCTCACCGTACAGCTACAGTTACAGCACAGGGGGGGAAAGAGTATGTGCTTCTGAATCAATAAAAATATTTAACAAAAAGCAAGTCAACAAAATGTGCTCCTCCTCTTCCTCCTCAGCTGTCCAAATGTGACTGCATGGCACAGAGTATCTTTGAGACTCATCTAGCAGGTTCTTCCCAAATTGCTGATGTAACAGGGCCCAGACAACACCTTGGACAGCCCTCCTGCCCAAGTCTTAAAACACAAGAGTGGGATTAGAAAGAGTTGGAGATTTGCTGAAATTGGCCTCTCCAGGTTTACAGGAAGGCCTGGCTACAGAACAGAAACTGCCTTGGTTGCCTCATGGGGTGGCCTGTGCTGGGAAGGAGAGGGGCACTGTGATCTTATCGGTCCTCCTGGGCCTCCCAGTGGCTATCGTGACTGGCAACCATGGTGTCTTTCTGGACAGGCTGTCAGAATCGGCATTCTGAACCAGTGCTTGGACAGGGCAACGGACTGGGCAAGGGCAATAAACAGAGACCCAGTCCAGACAAGACAGAGACCCTGAAGTGTCTTGCTCCTGAAGATGTCTCTGACTGGCAGAGCCGTCTCCACTGGCTCTCGCGTTGCCCGTCCCAGCTGGCAACTGCTCGTGCCTTTGATCAGCTTTCCTTAGGAAAAGGCCCTCTGTTCTGCACTGGAGAACAGCCTTCTGCAAAACTGGGCCTCCGAACAAACCAAAGCCCCTGTTAAAATTAGGACAGAATAAAAACATATGAATCTTGCCTAGAGAGTCGGGGAATTTAAGTAACAAAAAAATCCACCAGTTTCTAGTCACTTTACAGCAAGGGTGGGAGAACACGAAGTGAGCGATTGTTTCCTCCCACAGAGCAAACTCAAAGCAGAAAATGTGAACAGCTTTCAATAGGAAGTAAAATATGTAATTTATATAACACAACCCAGCATCAACTGCCTTTATAAAAATTTTACCTCCCTCTTGTTCTCTCTCTCTAGTATTGATGAAGGGATCAAAAATTATAAAACATTTTTAAATGGATTTGAAGAAACTAGGCACTGATAATTAGTTCCTCAATTACATATAATTTCTACACATCTCATTAAATAAATTAGAACCACAAGCACAAATTAATATATACTTTATAAGATGCTGGGATGTTAATTATAGTACAATTATAGCATCCACTTTGGAGCTGCTTTTTTAATGGACTTGTAAAAATATGACTTTTAAAAAGTATGGTTTAAAAATATGCATACATTGGGAACATTTTATAGAAAGGCATGGTCTGAGCAGAGCAAAATAAACATCACATATGCGCTTCCCATGCAGCTGAAAATCCTGGTCACCATAACCCAACACATCTCAAGGGCCTGGAGCGAGGGGGGCCGATCTACCCAGAGACGCCCTTCGTGCGCAGGCTTTCCGGCTGCCTCCGGGCCCTTAATGAATTCCTGCTGCCCAGAGTGGACAGAAGTGCTTCCCACATGCCAATCCCCTGGCCATTAAAGCCAGTCAAGAAAGGCCCAACAAATTATTACCAAGGCTTCAAAACGTCCCTCAGACTTTCTTATAACCTGCATCTTACACCAATTCTCCATGGAAATGAGTAAATTCTCCTAGGAGCACCAAAAATATTTTTAAGACAAGGAGTGATTACATCAAACTGTTGTTTAGTTGATAACAAGAAAATTAACTCTGATAATCGAAAAATGATTGAAAGTGACAAGAGCTTTCGAATGAGAAAAGCTCTTGGGATTCCAGTGAGCAGTTTCAAAATCCAGCCCCAGCATCTCAGGCCGCCGCTCCCTCCTCTGCCACCAGACACCCAAGAGCCGTATTCTCCACCGTTTGGTAGTCCAGGGCGGTTTGTGGGGAGGAGGGGGTGCAGAGATTCAGCCTACAAAATTGGTGGCCTGGATGCATGAGGTGAATTTTGTTCCCTTAATAAAAACCTTGCCTCTCTGCAGGCGAGCAACCTGAAAATGTCTTCATCACTGTGTCACATATGTAAATGCACACAGATACACACTGCTAATGAAAGCTTTAAGAGAGTCTGTATTTGGAAGTGAATCCCTGCCCTATGAACTGAACAAATGCAAAATAAACTTTCTTTTAAAGGCGGTTCCTTTTCCAAAGGTCTGTGCTCTTCAAATAGTAAAATCGTAAAAAACAAGCTTGCATATGTAAGATTGAAGAACTACAACTAAAGTGTAAAGCAAGCAAACATCAAGATGAAGCAGACTTCGGCCTGAGGAGTCTAGTGTGAGAAACGTGCAGATATTCTTAGGATCAATTCCAATCAGCCAACCAAACCAAACTGTGAGACTTCAATACACCGTACAAAAGCTAGATTTGTCTGGAAATTACAGTAGTCCTCAATTTGTCTGGACAGAAAACTACACCAAAAATTTCAACATGCTTCAGACAGACTGCTTGACCAGGACCCTGTGTAAAGACAACAGAAGCAGCCACCTTTATAAAGTCAAGCAAATCTTAGTCTGGTCAGGGCTTGGTTAGAAGTAAAGTTGCCTGTAGTTCCAGGATGGAGAAAACATGAAATATACATGTAGAAAAGAAATCAAAAGGGGCTTCCTTAATTTAAGAACTTGTGATCCTGTATCACTTCTCAAGGTGTCTTCTAACCTGTAAACATGGAGGAGCTCTACTGGATCAGAGTGAATGGTGTCCACAATGCCATTTCCTAGAGAAGCCCAACCAGATGCTTCTGGGAAGCTCTCAAGTTGGACATGAAGGCAACAGTATTGGGGAACTGAGAAAGGAAACACTGAGGGAGAGCAGCATGTAAGGAGAAGACTGTCCAGGCAGGACTGAAGAACAAAGACCACCTCAGGTCCAACTCCTTAAAAACAAGCCTAATAAAGGCATGTTACCTACTGAGATTTGAAATTTCACAGGCACAGACCTTTCAAATAGAAAACCAGAAACTTTTCTTTTGATCAGAAAGAGATAATTATCCTGGGAAACTTTGAAACAGCTGATCTGTAACAGTTAACACAACAGAACCTGGACAATTTGTTTAGAAAAGTCCTTGTTTTAAGAGACTCCCAGGTACAAAGTAGTCATCATAAACGTTGACCAATCACAACAGCAGAGGATGGGGTCCCCCCCTTTTAAACACTGGGTAATGGGGGGAAATACAACACACTAATGAAACAATGCAAAAGAAATTACCAAAAAATAGAAAATAGAAAAAATGTATTTACAAGTCATACATTACTATGATCAGAACACACAAAGACAACAGCTGCTATAATACATGCATTAGGTCAAGAAGAGAGCTACTAAAAACTGTAATGGACAAGTTGTAAAAAACAAACCCACAAACAAAACGGGGCAGGAAGGAAAAGGCTTCAGCATTCTTCCTCCCCTAAGTTTGCTACATTGATTGCAAATCAAAAAATCCCCTAAAATCCAGGAGGACACTCAGTACAACATACTACACTTAAAAAAAAAAACAAAAACAAAAACTGAAGCTTCACTCATGGAGGGGAACAAGGAGAGGCATCAGCCTATTTGCAGATCCATATACAAGAAAGCCATTGTCAACTGTTCTACATGCTAAAAATTACAGCAAGCCCCTGTCAGCTACGAAGCATGATCCTAGCAGATTTTACCCTTGCAGTGTGGTGTGTGTGTGTGTCTGTGTGTGTGTTCACACACATATATATGCTATATGTGCATGCCCGTATGGATGTACAAAAGGAGGATGAGTGTAGGAGTGTGTGTGCGTGTGTGTGTCATGTGTCGTGCTCTTATTCACTGCATTATGGTATCAGGGTGGAAATGTAACTTGTTACAACGAAGTTTTCATCTGGTGTACGGCAAGAAGTCACTCAATGTCTGTGGATTTCGTAGGTCGTCTCACACCACAGAAAATATAAACGGAAAAGGAAAAAAAAGAGTACAGTGAGAGAAGAAATTTTGTCTCAGTTCTTTCTGAAACTGGAGTCCAACAGAAAAACTGGTTCCAAAGTACTGCTGGGGTTTTCCAAGAAACTCCAAGTGCTGTGGCCATTTTTCCTTGTAGTGTTCACAAGTTCCTCAACGACTCTGAGCCGTTTTCTTACAAAGTCTGTCTCTTCCTCCTCTCAGGAACACCTGATGGTCTGGCACTAATCTGTAAACAGGAGAGGAAGGAAGGGAGGGGAAGGAAGCCGGGGCGCGTGGCTGCCGTGGCAAACCCTCTCCAGTTGCAAGGAAGGAGGCCCCTACGGCTTTGCACTCTCCTCCTTGTAATACAGCAAGTCCATCTGTACAAGTTCCACAAACTGGCAATTCTCCTAAGTACCAGCCCAGCCTCAGGCACGGTCAACCAAGCTGTGAGCGAAAAAAGGACCAGGCAGAAGTTCGGTCACTTTCCATCTGCTCCATCATACCTCTAAGAAACGCGAGCTGCTGGACTTTGAATGGAACGGCTCCGACCACATGCGACGCAGATCACCCTAGGAGAGAGAGAATATTCTGATTGTGAGCCGCCCAGAGTCGCCTCTGGGGGAGATGGGCGGCATATACATTTAATAAACAAACGAACAAACAAACAAATAATAAATAAATAAATAAATAAAGACAGTGGGAGTCCATCCGGTGGGTGTGGGAAGAACTTGGAGCCACGTCACCGGCCTGCTACCTTCGGGGCGCCTTAGCTACAGAGCGAATGGAGGCAAGACGGAAGAGGGGAGGGCGCTTGAGGAGCATCTTAGGAGCTGCGCTGAGGATCCTGCCTGATTTCTGGGAATTCCGGCTGACCGGATGCCTCTCGGGCACTGCCCGGGCTCCATCTGTGACAGTTGCATCTCTTCCACTGCTTTTTACCGAGCCTCCCAACTCTGCCAGCCTGGCTCAGTTGATAAACCTTCAGCTGGACTCAGTGCTCACATCACATAAATGCAATCCAATAGTTCATTCCACTAGAAGAAAACTTGTTTTGAGAGAGCAAAAACAATTACCTGCTTTGCACCATGAACGCAAGGCCTGGCATTTCCCCATCAGCTGCTAGCATTTGAAAACTGTCGTCCATTGAAGGCAGTTTGCTCCCGAACCCCAGCTCACTGTCTGCTTCTTGTCACCCTGGGGCACCCCAGCTCACTGTCTGCTTCTTGTCCCAACCCAAAGTCCTGATGCCTAACTGTAAAGCACTCCACAGCTTAGAAACACGGGCAGTCCTAAAGGACCGTCCATACCCTCTTTGGAGACCCTACTCCTGCTAGAAACAGAGCAGAAGGCAGCATGGCCTCCTCAGTGATGTCACCCAACCTGAAGAACACTGTTCTAACACACTGGAGTAATTATAATGTGAGGCAAATGATCTCTAAATTTCAAGCAAGCAGGAGTCTAGTGGGGAACTCAAATAAGGAGAGCAAAGAGCAAGAAAGGAGTGGAAGAACCAAGCAGAGGGAGTGACTGCTGACAGAGAACTCCAGACCGCCTGCTGCTTTGATTGCCCATTGTGTGTAACTGGAGTGCTGCTTTCTGTTGACCTAGCTGAGGCAGCCTCAGAAGACATATAAGGAAGCCAGCTGCCAAGAAAGCTCATTGAGCAAACAAACAGGAAGAGAAACAAAAGTCTACCAGGGGAGTTCAGCTGAAGAGGGAAGAGGGGAAAGGGAGTAGAAGAAACAAAGACAGAAAGAGATGGCTGACCTGTGTCTTGACTGTTGCTAATTGCACTGCACTGCTGAATGCCCACTGGAGCAGTGCTTGCTACTGACCTAGTTGAGGCAGTTTCAGATGACATATAAGGAAGCTTCCTAGATAGCAAGCTCACTGAGTGAGGCAAACAGGACTTTGGCAAGTCAAGGAGGTGGCACTTTTGTCTTGTGGTTGCTATTCATCAGAGGAGTAAGAAGATGTAAAGAACTGCTCTTGGGACTTGTAAGGCATGTGCCATATCTGTTCTCTTCCCCAAAGAAGACAAAAATCTCATACACTACTACATATATAGTTGATTGCTGTCTTGGAAAATGACTGGTTGGAGGCAAAACTGGCTTTTATCTTTGAATCATTACATCAAACTCAGGAAATGCTTTCAGAGGGACAACAGTAACAAGAATGCTTCTAGAAGACAGAAAAAAAAAGGCCCAAGCGGAGGGGACCAAGAAATGGAGGACTGTGCTGCAACGGCCCAAGCTATCAAGAAGAGCTCTTATTCTCTGGAGCTTAAGAAGACACTCCAGGGCCTTATCCATGAGGACACCACTGAATAAAGAGCGCCTGCCGCAAACCTCAGAGCCTGAATAAGAGGATTCTGCAGGCCCTGCACAGCAAAGGAGTCTTGCCTCTGCCTTGATGGAGAGGAAACAACGGGTGGTGGGGATCAGAGACTCTCTACTGAGAGGGGCAGAAGCAACAATCTGTCAGCTGGACTGTCCTCTCAGGAGAAATGTGCTGCCTTCCTGCGGCTCACATATGGGATGTGATGCAAAGATTCTCACTGACAAATACAGAGGTAGTCTTCGGGTAATGGGACCAGAACTTCTGTCGCTAAGCGATGCAGTCGTAAAGCATGTCATCTTCACTTAGCAATGGCAATCCCAGCAGTCCCCACTGCCATTGTTAAGTGAGGTTTGCAGGTCGTTAAGCAAGGACCTCCTTGCAATTTCCTGCCGGCTTCCCACAAGCAAAGTCAATGGGGAAGCTGGCAGGAAGTTGCAAGTCCCAGGTGGCTGGCAAGCAGGCTGGCAGGTAGGTAAGTGGTTGCTGCCAGGTGGGGGAGGGCACGCGAGGGGCCAGTGTGATGCAAGCATGGTGGGGCTTGGGGTGGCTGCTGTCAGGTGTGGGAGTCTTACCAGAGTGACCTGCAACCTTTCCTGCCGGCTTCCAACAAGAAAGGTCAAGGGGAAAGTGGGCAGGAAGTTGCAAGTCCCAGGTGGCTGGCAAGCAGGCTGGCAGGTAGGTAAGTGGTTGCTGCCAGGTGGGGGAGGGCACGCGAGGGGCCA